TTAGTACCCCCTTTTGATTTTAATTTGCTTGGAATAAAAACCGGTGCTTTCACTTATCACAATTTCATGATATGGGGGGGTTTCTGTTGCTTTTTAAGATTTTCATTAATGGAAAATACTGATATGGGAAGGCGGTGCAATATATCATTTCATACTATGCACCCTGACAATATCCTTTCTGAGATTAGTCATTTCATGTTTCTGAAAAGTACCATGTACATGTAAGCCACTTAATTAAATACAGGAAGTTATCTTCAAGCAACCCTCTTCCACACTCCGAACATGAAAGAGCCCATTAGAATATTGATAGCCCGTGCAATATGTTAATGTTGGAAAACATGCTAGTTTTCAGCAATTACAATGACTCATCAAGAAAGAGGAAAAAATAAAAGAATGAATATGTGAACTAATTTTGATTGTCTTTTGTGCTGTCACATCGTGAGCAGATAAGAGCCTGGTGTATGCAAAAGCAGTGGTTGCTCTCTCTTGCAGGGAGATCACTCCCCCCTCAGCCGGGACGGACCCTGTTCTGTGACCTTTGGGAAAGCCGCCCCCGCCCCCCCTGCAGTTAACACGTTCTGAAGACCCTCCTTTGTCTCTGTGCCCCTGGTCACATACTAGCAACGGGCTCTGCTACTCTGGAATTAATCAAACAAACTGCTCCAAGCTTTAATCTTTTATATGGCAGCCGCTGCAACTGAGAGTGTCATCTCGTGAGTCCCATATTTGTACACATCCAGCAGAAGAAATACACATGTGACATATTACCTTCACTGTCATCAACATGCCAGTTGGTATTTTCAGCTTGTTCCGTGATAGCTGCTTCCTAAATCAAGCACCTAAATCGAGAGCAAGGACAGATCTGTCCTCATATACTGAATTTCAGTGACCGCGATAAAACCTGCAAGTATCCAGAAAACAGGTCTCAGTGTACGGAAAATCTGAATTTCCAAATCACCAGCACACGCCTGCCAGACAAACACCTCGACTTCACCAGACCAGGGTTAAAATGCCACAAAATGGTGTTCCCCCGGTCCACAGCCTGGGCAAGGAATATGAAATGGTGTCAGATGAATCCTTGCATTTTTGTATGGTTTCTCCAGGACATCTGAAACCCCTCAGGTGAGCACATACCTGACATCCTCTTGACTCTTCAGCTTGCTCTCCCTGCATGGCACCAGCTGTTTGAGACTCCACTAACAGCAAAACCTCCAAGGAGCCTCCAATGCAAGGTGGCAGCTGTAACAGATGACATCTAGTTATTGATTATACACTCCAGCCTTCTAGCAAACATCCCCAACTCTGAGTTCAGGCCAGACCTTCCCTTCCTTCCTAAAGTAAAAGGTGAGTGCCCAGGTCAGCAGTGAAGAACAGGTCTGGTACCCTGGGGTATGAGATTCCACATGAGTTGGGGAGTGAGTGTGAAAAGTGTTGTTACTGAGTCTCCTCTCAGCTACCATTAGAGGAAGGTGCTTTTTATTACAGGGGAAATTAGAATACTTTAAGCTCACTAAGTATTTAAAATGCAGCTACTTCAAAAAGACAGGCTACAACTGAAGTTTTCAGCAGTGGCTTTTAGAACCCCACCCTCAGCAAAGCAGAAAGAAAAGAAATGGGAGCTCAGCATTTCTCACAAAATAGGGCTGTGTAAAACCCCCAGGCCAAAAATACTCTTCAGAGATCCTCGGAAAGCATAAAAGATCAAAACTTCAACCTCAGCCCTGTGTATCTGAATTGCTAATAAATGCTCAGTACTGACTCCATCTGCAGCATCACACAACAAGGATTAGAGGTAATCATGTTTTTAAGGAAAGGGAATGTTTCACATCACCAGAAGTATCTTCAAAACTCCGACTCAGAATTATGAGATAGCATTTTCTGTCCTGCCCTGAGCAAGGTTTTCCAATCACCGCTTATGAACAGCTGCACCAGCACTGCACTCTTCTTATGTGCTAAACAACAACGGGACATTGCAAAACTACAAAGGCTTGTCCTGTCCATTTAACCAGCGTGTCACATGGAGACAAAGCATAATGCAGCCCTGTGAAAAGTCCACCCACAAACTTCATTTCACACTATAGAATGAGGCACTTGAGTTCTCTGTTATCCTTCTCTCACATGAATCCACATGACAGCAACTTAAATGTTTTGGAGACTGCAGAATATAACCATCCAAAAAGTTGCCTGCTTAAAAAAAAAAAAAAAAAAAAAAATTTCAGTCTATTTCTTTCTTGTTCAAAACTCTTGCATTCAGTTTGTTTTAAAAGGTAAATCAGTATTGAACAATAAAAGAGAGTAACTGCCGTTGAAAAGTCATGTCATCTTATTAAAACCTACCAGTACAGAACTGAAATCCACAGCACTTTGAAGTGAATTAAAATGCTATCACTAGAAACAGAAATTTTCTTTTATTACTGAAACACAGTGCCGTAAGTTGCAAGATAAAGTTTAAAAACCACGGCAGTATTTGTTATCAAACAGGAGATATTTATTTTATCAATTTAACCCACAACAAAACACCCATTATACCGACACAGCGGTACCTAAAAGGGCAACCCCCTCTCCCTGCATTCCCACTCATGCTCACACACAAACACACACTCGTTTTACCCACAGCTGGCAGAGCAGCCCCACAGCTCCAAAGGGAGGGGCCAAAGGAGCAACAAAACAAGATATTAACTGGTCAGGAAAAGGCAATCCTCGGAAGAGCTGTATTTAGAAGACAGGGACATGTTGTTACTGTGCTGTGTTCATGGGACTGCACAACAACATAGTAAAAAGAAATTGAAGGGACAGTGAAGAGGATTTAAAACTACTATTTTAGGATCCCTTTTTCCCAAGCAGAGTTGTAGGAATTACAGAGGACTGTAGTTAAGCAATCAAATATTCCTGGAAGAAGTCCTTTATATAAACAACTGAATCATTCCTGTTTGGATTTATTCAGATTTTATAAGCCACAAAATAACCATTTTAAGTCTTTAATTTTATAACTAATTAATTCTCTGATGAGGGGAACTAAAACAATCTTGGAACATTTTTTCTTCAATGAAGATACAGATGATGGTTCATCCTCAGCCTTTCTGAGAACTCATTGACAAACTTGCCCACTGATGTCCCCATGCAGCAGAGCCTCAGCGCTGTAAAACAACCAGCATTTACCTTTGGTTTTAACAGTCACAAAACAGTGCAAAGGAAGCATGAAAAAAGCCAGTGGGGGTCAATAGCTCTGCGTCAAAACAGCATACAAACAGTTAGATCCTGCAACACACTGAGGATTTTCACCTGCCAAAAACTCAAGGTGCTGGCAGGAACTTTTACCTAAATACACTTCTTCTGGATGCTACTCCAAGAACAGTTATACCCCGAAATCTCTTCAGCTATGCACAGTCAGAAGAAAATGTGGTATTTCCAGTAACAGAGTGAAGATTACTAGCATCACTTGATGGTCCTGCAAAGGCATGTGCATTGATGGTAGGGACCCTGTTTTGATCACCTAGTTTAAGCACAGGTACTGCTTCTTTGATTTTACAAGGGTATTTGCCAGAAGAAGAACTGCAGCAGTCAACAGACGTGAGTCCCCAAAATTAGGAGAAAGAACCTATTAAAATGTCATGGTTAAACAAGGCCTTTAACACCAACTCTCTGACATGCAGGTGAGCCCAATGAAATTATAGTAACAAACCTTGCACAGATACAGCTGGAGCAGGATGTGGCCCTCAGAGCCAGCTGAAAGCTCCTGAGAGCCAGATGGGAGATCCTCCAGACAGTGTAATCACACTCCCAAAAAGAGAAAAAGAAAACTCTGAAGTTGCCAGGTGCAGCTTTAGACAGGTGCCAGTCTTTCTCAGCTGAAGTTATTGAACAAAACTTCAGGAATGAAAAACAGCTTACCTAGGTGCTTCTGAAAAATTAAGCTAGAAGATTGTGGTGGGAGCAGGATGAATGACAGTTCTGTTGCCTTCTTAGGAATTTTTCTGGAAAAAAAGCAATGTAAAAAAAAAATCAACAAATTAATCACCATTGAGTTGTTTTCCTGATAACTACATGATCCACACAATTCAAGAAGGGAAAGTGTTCCTCTGCAACCAGGCTGCTAAGAAATCACCCTGCAAATAAGAACTCTCTCTCTCTCTTTATTGTAATGGGTCTTGACATTGACTTTGTCATGTTAATTTGCTGAATTCAACCCCAGTATTTGCTTGAATTGAAGCAGCAAAGACATACAAACATCAACCATCAGCTAAGTCCATGAAACACAAAAGCTGCCTTTGACGGTCAGTGTACTCCCCGTACTTTTCTTTCTTTTAGCAAAATTAATGATCAGATACAGGAAAAATGCAGACTGGCTGAACTGTAAGTCATCTTCTTGTTTTGGCAAAAAAGAGCAATCTCGGGGGGGGGGGGGGAAGGCACACTGAATAATTTGAACAGAACATGTTTTTCAAATAAGTCAAGCTCTACTGTTATCAGCCAAAGAAAATCGGCAGAGGATTTGCTGTAATAAAGACACTCCTCCAAGCATGAATTTCCCCATTCTGTTCAGAGATACCTGACATCACTATACCCCCTTTTGGGAATGGCTTTGAGGCAGGGGATCAGAAGAACTGAGAGTAGCCTGTAAGCAGAAGCCGACATGATCACAAGGACTATGTGCTGCATATTAGTACCCACAGAGGGTGCATAGAAGCAGGCTGAATGGGGACACAGGAACATTGGCCAAGCCAAGCACAGAAGAAACAGAAAAATATAAAAAGCCTATATTGTATTCTGTATGCTTTTTATAAGCACCTTGGTGATGGAGGCCCTACAGATGGGAAGAGGCTGATTACTCTCTCGCTTGTAAACAGGAATGTTGATCCCTTTGGAAGATGCTGGAGGGGTCCAAAACGCTTGGGGAGGGCTTTCACCTACTGTATTTTACCTCTGTCTTTCTCACATACACCCTCGGTCTCATGCTGGGTTACAGCCAGCTGCTGCTATGTTGTGTTTGACCAGGTACGTAGGAGAACGGGACTTAGTTCCAAACAGGGAATCGAGTCAGGCATGAAGATGCAACAGGAGGTTGCAGGGAATGGGCATGAATAACTGTCCTGGCTTGCCTCAGCTCCTGAGCTACACTTTCTCTCAGAGGCTGGAGTCCTGCTTTTCATTCCTACAGCTCAGGGTCTGAACCTCCAGCAGGAGTTCCATCAGGCTGCTGCTCTAAGCCATCAGCATTCCCAGGCTGATGGTTTCAAGAACACCGTTGCTGCCCCAACTCCCTTCCTGGGGTAAGACATGCCTTTGCTACAGATGGATTCATTACCAGGAGCTAAACAATAAATGTATTTACACAAATTGCATATTGTGGGAACACAAAGCTTTGGTTCAGGCAAAGGCAGCAGCCTCAGAGGGACGGGATGGGCACACGAATAGGTTGAAGCTAATGACTCACAGAGATGGAGTAGAATTCAGTGTCACTGTGCATCTCTAAGTTTACAAAAAAGTGTCTCAGGAAGATAACAAGAGCTTATGAAAGTAAAATCAGCAACAGCACAGCAATGGGCAAGAGGTTTTATTGTGACCTGTTCATTAAATGTCAAAGGTCTCACAAGGCCACTGATGGCAGGTGGACACTTAACATAAATACTGCACACCTGATATAAAAAAGCTCTCCTAATCTCTTCTTTCACATGCATAAGTAACTCACACCACATGTAAATGTCATACATCTAGTAAACAATTCATTTAAAATCATTTATGTACAGCTTAAAATGTATTTAATGGTATTTTACTAAAGGTCAGAAAATGCAAAGAAAAACAGATAAAAAAGATACAAAAGCTTACTCGGGTGATAATTTGTGTATCCTACTAATAGCTTATATAAAAGAAAATAAGCATTATGCAAGTGAGAAGGAATAAGTAGTGTGACAGGATCAAGATCAAGATGCAGGAAGTTCCTATTAAGGCAGTTCATCCCAAGTTTACAGTTGCATAAAACAGCATGAGAGAGCTTACTCCTGGGTATACAGTATGCAAGTATATCAAATGATTATAACATAAAAGTATAATATTCTCTTTCCAGTACAGATGCGTTAAACCATTGGACTTGGCTCAAGATCTGATTTTCATTCCCACCAGACTCTGGGAAAGGCCACATCCTATGTTTTGAATGGGTCATTTCAGGACATAAAATGAGAACTAGTTATGAAACTCACTTTCCAAAACCTGCAGTACTCAGAATCAGAGGGACAATGAACTT